AGGAGGCTGAGGCAGGAGAATTGCCTGAACCCAGGAGGCGGAGGTTGCGGTGAGCCGAGATTGCGTCATTGCACTCCAGCCTGGGTAACAAGAGCAAAACTCCGTCTAAAAAAAAAAAAAATAAAAATAAATAAATAAATAAATAAATAAGTAAATTAAAGAGTCATGTGTTACCCATGTAGTTACCATTAGCCTTGCTCTTTATTTTTCAGTTTGTCTGGTGTCATTTTTCCTTCGGCCTGAAGGACTTCCTTTTATATTTTGAAGCACTGATCTGTTGGTACTGAATTCTTTTAGCCTTCATACAACTGAAAAATCTTTATTTTGCCTTTCTTTTGGAAAATATTTACTCTGAGTATAGAATTCTAGGCCGACATATTTTTCTCAGTACTTTAAAGGTGTTGCCCCATTTTTGCTGACATTGTTTCTTTTTTTTTTTTTTTGAGACGGAGTCTGCTCTTGCTCAGGCTAGAGTGCAGTGATACAATCTCGACTCACTGCACCCTCTGCCTCCTGGGTTCAAGCAATTTTCCTGTCTCAGCCTTCCAAGTAGCTGGGAGTATAGGCGCATGCCACCACACTCAGCTAATTTTTGTATTTTTAGTAGAGATAGGGGTTTCACCATATTGGTTAGGCTGGTCTCGATCTCCTGACCTCAGGTTATCCACCTGCCTTGGCCTCCCAAAGTGCTGGGATTACAGGCATGAGCCACTGTGCCCAGCCTGCTAACATTGTTTCTGACAAGAAATATACTGTTATTTTTATTTTTGTTCTGTCGTACCTAATACAACTTTTTTGTCTGGTTGTTTTTTTTTTTTTAATTAAAAATGTACAAAAATATATATAGATATTTTTGGTACATAGATATATATATTTATGGGGTATGTCTGATTGCTTTTAAGATTTTCTCTTGGCCGGGCATGGTGGCTTACACCTGTAATCCCAGCACTTTGGGAGGCCAAGGCGGGTGAATCACTTGAGGTCAGGAGTTCGAAACCAGTCTGTCCAACATGGTGAAACCCCGTCTCTACTAAAAATACAAAATTAGCCGGGCATGGTGGTGCATGCCTGTAATCCCAGCTACTCGGGAGGCTGAGGCAGGAGAATCGC